ATATATATATATATATATATTTTAAGGAGTTTGGTTTTTTCATTAAGCTCACAATCTTGATTAGTATTTAACGGTGTGCATCTTAGTTCATAATATATATGTTTGTATTTTTCTTTGTAATGGTGATGGTAGTCATCCTGTTTGACAAAAATAAAAACATAGTTATTTTATACATAGAGAGATTTTTTTTGAACTTTCAACGGAAACAAGTATAATTTTGATATAAAAAATACACCAACAGCTTATGTTTGAATGAATGAATATCAATAGATACATAAAGTTTGATTAATCTCTTCAAATATGTCGAGTAAAATTAACTTTCTAATTCTATGTATTCAAAAACAGTTCTGCCATATCAACAATTACAATATTTTAGAAAAAAAAATAGTTTTAACTTATTTAGTAAAAAATACACATATCATAACATAATTTTATTTTGTTATGAACTTAAAAATGAAATGTATTAAATTAATTTTGTTGACTGCTAAGAGAATTAGAAGATATGACAAATGAAATTAAAAAAAAATGATACGTTAAGTGGTTCTAACTTCTTGTTAACTTATTCTCTAGAAAAAAATCTAGAGAGTGTTATAATATTTAATAAGGTAGATTTTAATTTTCTTATTTGGGTACATAAATTAAAAGATGCATTAAAAAAAATGAGAAAAGGTGCCATGTCATCATTCTAAAACACCACGATTCCCTAAATACAAGACGCAGCGAGATGTGACGTTGCAGGCAGAGGCAGGTATAAAACCCAACGCTTCGTCTCTAACGTCCACCTCTCCCATTTCTCTATTTTCAGAGCTCAAGAAAAGGGAAGGAAAAAAATAACCCCCAAATTATTAAAACTCTCAATTTTATTTTTATTTACATTTTCCTACATTTTCATTCGCAGTTGCAACTCCATTTTCTCCTTCTCACTGTTACTTTGAGTTTTTTCTTTCTCCAATTTTTTGATTTTTATTTTCAAAAAGAGTGAATGGCGGCTGCGATTCCCACACCCATGACTCAGTCTGTGGCGGCGGCGGCTCAGGTGACGGCTCCGGCGGCCGCATTGGGCGGAGGATCATTTGTCAATGCGTCGCTGTACGTCGGCGATCTCGAGGGTAACGTAAACGAGGGACAGCTTTATGATCTGTTCAGCCAGGTGGCTCAGATTGTTTCAATTAGGGTTTGCAGAGATCAAGCCAAGCGATCCTCTCTTGGTTACGCTTATGTCAACTTCTCTAACGCTCAGGACGGTTCGTGTTCTTCTGAATTTGATTTTGGTTTTTGTTAATTGCAAATTGGTGTGAATTATTTTGATCTTTATTGATATTTGATGTTCATCACTCGTTGCTTTGGGGTTTTTGGTTGAGTGAATGAGTTTTTCCATCATTGTTATTATTATTATAAAAGAGAGAACCATCACTTTAAAAAAAATAACAAAGTAGGATTGTGGGGATTTGCTGAACTGATACTATTGGAATCGACAACATTTCAGTGAATTTCGTTTTCATGCGCGGGGTTGAGTGGTAGAAAGACAAGTGTTTGGCGGAGGCTGATTTTTTGCACCTTGTATATGATGATATTCATTAATTAGATATGTGTGTTCCAAGCTATGAAGCAGAACACTTTTCATTATGCATCCACTTACAAAAATATATTTTTCATTGGCCTGAACTGACACTTTTATATGATTCGGATTTCGGACACTGTCAGACAATTCATCTTAAAATGTAATATAAAATTATAAAAAAATGCATTTCGGCATGTCTTCGTGATGCTCATTACACAAGATTATACTTATTGATTATCTTTTGTTATGTTACTTGTATTTGTTATTTGATTTCATTTCATACACTACTGAGTTATGGAGTCGGTGTTTGACTGCTTGTGTTGGAGTTGCTATTTCATAGGTTTCAAGATTCATTTCATAAGTGTAACTGATAGTGAATTCAGAATGAAAAAATTTAATCATGAAAGATAATTTGGTCCTTGATTATAGTTATATTGATGTGAGAAGTTTGGCTGTTTGGGGTAGTTTGCAGGAGATTTTGACCTCCCTTAGTTGAAATCTCTATGCTGTCATTTTACAGAGGAAAAAATGTTTAATATTTGGAATTTGATTGTTTGTTTTCATTTTTTATCCTGTTGTCTCACTGATTTTGGTACTTTTATGAATTATGACAGCTGCCAATGCAATGGAACTTCTGAACTTCACTCCTCTGAATGGAAAACCGATTCGAATTATGTTTTCTCAACGTGATCCAAGCATTCGGAAAAGTGGATTTGGCAATGTGTTCATTAAGAATCTGGATACATCAATTGATAACAAGGCATTACATGACACTTTTGCTGCCTTTGGTAATGTACTTTCTTGTAAAGTGGCTGTTGATGGCAGTGGCCAGTCAAAAGGGCATGGTTTTGTTCAGTTTGACAATGAGGAGGCTGCCCAGAATGCAATCAAACAGTTGAATGGAATGCTTATAAATGATAAACAAGTCTATGTTGGACTCTTTATGCGGCGCCAGGAAAGGGCTCATGCAAATGGGTCACCAAAATTCACTAATGTATATGTGAAAAATTTTACTGAAACATATACCGATGAAGACCTGAAGAAGCTATTTGGCCCCTATGGTACAATAACCAGTGCAACAGTTATGAGAGATGTGAATGGGAACTCTAAATGTTTTGGTTTTGTGAATTTCCAGAGTCCAGATGCAGCTGCTGCTGCTGTTGAGAGGTTAAATGGAACTACTATCAATGATGACAAGGTTTTATATGTGGGGAGAGCTCAGAGGAAAGCAGAAAGAGAGGCTGAGTTGAAAGCCAAAATTGAGCAGGAAAGAATTAGTAGATATGAAAAACTACAAGGTGCTAATTTGTACTTGAAAAATCTTGATGACAGCTTCGGTGATGAGAAGTTGAAGGATCTATTTTCAGAGTTTGGAACTATAACATCTTGCAAGGTATGTGAAAAATATTCATATTATGTGTCTCTCATTGTGTGCACGGACAAGTGAACTGTATTGTTGTTTTAGTGTACTTCATGCATCTTATTAGCTTTTTATTTGTTGAGGGAATTCTTATATATTGAAATATATTAGGTAATGATTGATTCAAATGGGCATAGCAAGGGGTCTGGTTTTGTGGCTTTTTCTACTCCCGAGGAAGCAAGTAAAGCTGTAAGTCATAATTTTTTCTTATTTACAAAAAGGTATGTATGATTATTTCTTATTGGATGCATGAGCTTTTTATCATCTTTTATTCAGTTGAATGAAATGAATGGAAAGTTGATTGGACGAAAGCCCCTTTATGTTGCTGTGGCCCAACGCAAAGAAGAGAGGAAGGCTCACTTACAGGTGACACTTTTCTTCAATTCATTGTTACTTGTTCTTATATGATTTCCTGAGTGCTTCCCTATTAAGTGAATGTCACTTGTCATTAACCTGATTTTCTTTAATCGCATTTGTTGAAATATTCATCTGTGCTTTTATGATTTATATATGTGCTTCTCTATAGCATTTTTGTTGATTTTCTGGGTTATTAGAGTTTTTCTATTTTGTGATATCTGTCCAACTCCTTTTTGTGGATAAAATTCTGGCATATTATATCACCCTCCACAAAAATACTATTTTCTTTTTATAATTTTCAAGCATACAAATTAGAAATATGGTTGCTAAATTGTGTTTTGAAGTTCTTTAAACTTGATTGGTGGTGTAACAAGTTAACTTTTCTTTTTGTAGGCTCAGTTTGCTCAAATCCGACCACATGGTGGAATGGCACCTCTACCTGCCGGAATTCCTGTGTATCATCCAGGGGCACCAAGGCTTGCTCCTCAACAGGTGTATTTTGGTCAAGGCACACCTGGCTTCATACCACCACAGCCTGCTGGATATTCTTTCCAGCAACAAATCTTGCCAGGAATGCGGCCTGGTGTCGCCCCCAATTTCATTATGCCTTATCATCTTCAAAGACAGGGGCAGCCTGGACAGAGAACCGGTGTTAGGCGGAATGGAAATATACAACAGGTGCAACAAAACCAGGTAATTATTATTTCATAAGTCTTAAGACTATAATCTTAAGATTTGATTTAAAAGATTTATTTAAATATAGTCTTCATTTTTTTTTTGACGGCTGAAAATTTTTTATTTTGTTAAGCACATGCTACATCGTAATTCCAACCAAGGGTTCAGATACATGTCCAATGGTCGAAATAGCATGGATCCATCTTTAGTTTCTCACAGTCTCATGGGTCCAATGATGCCTATACCCTTCGATGGATCTGGAGTTGCATCAACTCCTAATGATAATCATCAGCGTCCTGGAGCATTGTCTACCACACTTGCCTCAGCTCTGGCATCTGCTACTCCAGAAAATCAGCGCTTGGTACATAAAAATTATTATGTTTTACATCTAACTTTTTCTGTCTCACAATAGTTATTATTTTAAATTATACTGTTTGTAATGTTCAAAGTATGTCCATGTTACTTCTTTCCCTTCGGTAGGGACAAACATAAAATGAGTTTGAAAATTTAAAGGACAAATCGGACACAATTTAAATCTAAAGACTAAATTGAGAGTTGAAGTACTTTATTAGAGGACAACTTGCATTTTACTAATTTCTTGTTTGTCTTGGAAGGAATAGGTTTACAATAACAGAAGCACGTTGTTTAATTTATAATTTGTTATGATGACACTAATAAATTTATAATGATCATATTATATGAGAAATTTATTATTTGGCTTATGTTGTTCAAATTAACAGATGTTGGGTGAACATCTATATCCCCTTGTGGATAGTCTCACACCAAACCAATATACAGCAAAGGTGACAGGGATGTTGCTGGAAATGGACCAGTCAGAGGTAATCAATCTTATTGAGTCTCCGGAGGACCTGAAGATAAAGGTGTCGGAGGCAATGCAGGTTCTGCGTGAGGCTGCATCTGGTTCTGAAGTTGGTGATCAACTAGGCTCGATGTCGTTGAATGATTGAAGCAATCTTAGTGGTAGAGTTAGATATTTGAACCGCTTTTATTTTTGGACTTAACGAGCTAGTACTTTCTGGGGTCTTCTGCAATTTTGATTTTCATCAAGATCACATTTTCTCTTTGCGGGATTGTTGATTTAAGAGATGATATGGAGGGATTCAAGAATTTGTTTTGGTAGACATTTTCATTTTAGCATTTTCAGACTTTCTTATGATTATATTTTATTTAGGACTGAGTTTGCGGTAGAGGATTTGGTATATTAGCCTTGGAAACAATTTTGGTTTATTAGACATTTGAAATGGGTTCAAGTTTGAGGTAGACACATCTTTTCCTTTAATTTCTTGTTTAGTTTATTTTCTGTTTGTGCTCCAATTTTGGGTTGGGGAAATCCAACTAAGGTCGATGAGTTCTCGATGCCTGCGGTGATGAACAGAACCTGCAACCCAGGTTTATGGTACTACTATCATTATATTTGCAAAGCAATAATTTATACGGACTTGCCATTAGCTATTAACATGCAGTGTTCGTCTTAATATTTCTAATTGTAATCAAATCTTACTTTTTATATTAAGTAAATAAAGATACGTGGTAAATTTCTAAGAAATTTTAACCACTTTAAAAGAGTTAAATGCTATATAAATTAGTTTTTTTCTTAATAAGAAATTTATTTATTTGCAATTTAATAGGATGAATATATTAGTTAGTTGACAATTGCCTGGATTGAATTATATGAACATTAAATGCTGAAACAATATAAATTGTTATTTTTATTGATTAAATTTATTATTTCAAAATGTTTAATTGAATTTTTATATATTTGAAACGATGCCATTTATGCTTATTTACTTTAAGAAATATTTCAAGAGCTTTACCTAACCGTTCGAACTTTACACAATTTGGATTAAAAAAATATTTTTGAAAAACTAATTTCGTGTCATATGCCATACTTTCGTACCAAATTATTTAGTTTAAAAATAATGGTTGAAATTTGTTATTATTAAAAATACAGCGATTCAAATTTTAAGTGTTAAGGTAAATTTTACTGTGTATCTAAAAGTTAACTATATTTTTAAAGGTTAAAAATATTTTAAAAGTTAAATATATTTTTAATCTCTATAAAATAAGTGAAGTTTTTTTTCTTTCCGTAAACTTGTAACAAAAACAAAATCTTTTGTTTTCATCTTTAAAATAGTATGAAACCATCGATTTTAATATCTATTCTCATGTTTCACTGAATACTTATGTGTTCGACAACCAATTTTAATATCTATTATCAAATAAAATTTATACGTTCTATTTGTTTATCTTAATTTTTAAAATGAATATTAGTTATCTAATTAACAAAAATAATTTTTAAAGATAAAAATAGAAATTTTAAATTTTAAAAGATGAAAATTATTTTTTATAAAAACTATTTTTTTTTGTTTTATCAAGACAAAAACAATTTTTAAAATTTAAGAAAGATAAAAATTAAAAATAAATAAAGCATTACTACATTAATAGTAAGTCCCTGAATTTTGGAAAATTTTAAGTCTCTAAACTAAAAATTATAATAAAGTAATTGATCTTATATAATATCTAAAATTAACTCTCTAGTCTAGAGTTAGTAAAATTGTCATATATCGTTATTTTTTCGGTGATTTCAAATTGCCACAAATTAACTCTATAGACCTAATTGCAAATATTGTAGAAAATTAAATATCTAATAACAAATTTATTTAGTTAAAAATCCAATAAAAAAATTCTTAAAAAATATAGATTCATTAAATCAAAAATAAATTACATGACTAAATCAATTTTATAAGGATTAGAAGTATAAACTTTACATTTCTCAAAAAATAAAAGCATATTATATTATACTTTTAAAAAAATTACATCCATTCAAGCAACAAATTTTTTAACAATACAAATTAAATCCTACACTTTGCAAAAGAAAAAAAAATCTCAATAATTATTTTTCATTCGTAGAAATTGAATTCAACCTAGAGAGAATTCATAATAACTAGTACACACAATTCAATTTGAGTTAGATTTCCTTCGTGTAAATGATACACAATTAATAAAGTAGAGCGACATAGTTGACATTTCATTTTATCAAAATAGTATGGTTTGAATTAGTTCTTTAAGTATTAACTCTTTTACTTCTTAAAAAAATATTATACTATAACTCTCTTTTAGGAAAGGTTATTGGAAATGTAAAAAAAAAAAAAGAAAGAAAGAAAGAAGGAAGTGTTAATAAAAATTCTTAAAATTTTAAAGAGTGTTATTTAAATAAAATAAAATAAATAGATAATGTAGAATGTAGATGAGTCTTCATCTTTATAGAAAACAAAAGGAGGAAATAAAAATTGAAATTAGATTACTATAAATAGCGATGAATGGAGATAGGACGTAAGACGTTGTAATATTAAAAAAAAACCCTATTCTACTGATTGGTCGCAATCCATAAACCCTTTTCATTCTATTAACCATGCACTCCCATATCGAGACAATCCTCTGGAACCAGGACCAAATTTCCCGCCGTGTCTCCGAGCTCGCCGCTGCAATCTCCGCCGACTTCAGCGGCCTTTCTCCGGCGCCCGTGGTTGTCGGCGTGGCCACCGGCGCTTTCCTCTTCCTGGCCGACCTCGCTCGCCAAATCGACCTCCCCATCGCCGTTGACTTCCTACGCGCCGAATCCTACGGCTCCGGAACCCACTCCAATGCCGCTCCCACCATTTCCTTCGATTTGAAGCTCGACATCAGAGCCCGCCACGTCATCGTGGTATTCCCCCTTTTGCAACACTGTTCCTCTAACTATTTCACTGCACTTTTAATTAGGTTTTGTTTTCAATTGCTTCATTGATTTCTGGTAATTAGGTTGAAGATATTGTCGACACTGGACATACCTTGTCTAAAGTGATTGAGCACTTGAGATCGAAAGGAGCGTCCTCTGTTTCTGTCTGCGCTTTCCTTGATAAACCTTCTAGGAGAAAAGTTAACTTTCAGCTGGTTGGTGAAGGCAAATTCTACCGGGGATTTGAGGTATGGTACTCTCAGTTTAGGGTTTGTTTCTGCATAGCACTACATGCCATATCAGATAATTCCATGTCTCATACGTGTTGCACTTAAACACAATGTCTGAGGTTAAGTGATTCTAATTTTTCTCTTGAACTAAAATTAGCTCATGTGCCTGAACCTTTTTAAAAAACTGAGGTGCATAACTTACTTTTAACATATGAAACGAGTTTGATTTTCAGCTATATGGAATGGAAATATGATTGAAACTAGTTGAGTACTCGCGTGGTTAATGTATCAATGTCTAATTAATCTCTGGGGCGGAATTGTGGAAGTGTATTACTATTATATTTATAGATAATTAGATATGTTGCAGTTATGATAATTTTAGTTTTCAAATTTTTTGCTTTAGCTGGTTCTTTATTCATAGATAGTTTTTGGCATGAATCTGAATTGTATGCAGTTCAGCAAATTATGGTACTGACATGAAGTGCCAAGCGGTATGGGTTGGCAGTGTTGATATTTGCTCTGATTGTGTTTACGTATGTTTGGTATGCAGTGTCCAGACTATTTTGTTGTAGGTTATGGATTGGATTTTGCCGAACTGTATAGAAATTTGCCTTACATTGGTGTCTTGAAGCCTGAACTTTACAAGTGATCTTATATTTCTTAGTGAGCACTTGTCACACATGGAACCTTAGAGCGTTAAACATAGTTTTGCAAGTTTTTCTGCCACACACTTTTCCGATTACCACTTGATTCGCGGAAAGAACCAAGAATAGCAGATAGAAACTAGAAGAAAATGAATAACATGGCTATCATTGAATAAATTGTTTCATAGCGTTGCAGTTTCATTTTCACAGTTGTCTTATTTAAGTAAGGTGACAGTGTTACTTGGACAAACTCTTAACTCTAAGAGAGAATATTGCAAATATTTGTATTGAAGAAATACGTAGGACTTTGATGTGATCCAAGACCCGTGTATGCTTTGCATTGTCTTTTATTCCTTTTATTTATCGCTAAATTTCTGTTTTTTTCCCTTTTCTTTTTAAATGCGTGACATGTGGTTCTTTGGCCCTGTCTGTTCAAAAGAGGGGAGGGAGAATATTTTGATTAGAGATTTTTTTTTTCTTTTTGTTAAGAGGAAATAGTCTAATATTTTTTTTGTTAAAAGGGAGGAAGATTTTAAAAATTAATGCGTCTTAATATTCTTATAATTTTAGATTTCAAAACATAGTTATAAATATGGAATATTTTATATAATACACTAAAATGTTTTAATTCTTTCCCTTCTCCCTCATTCTAATTTTTCCAACTAAACACTACGTAGTTGTGTTTGTTCAAGAATGAGGATAAATGATGCTTACTTAATTATTGCGGATGAAAGATATACCAAATAATTCAAATGACCTTTGAGTGAATAATAAAGTTATTAAGTGTTGAGATAGTTGAATAGGTTATACAAGGTTGCATTTCAAGACGCGATAATATATGGAGAGGCTATTGTTTTACATTTCTACTACTGTTTGGAAAACCTTAATAAATTGATTAAATTACATTTTTACTCTTCTACTTTTACTTATTTATAATTTTCATTCTTCTATTTTAGAATAAAATGTTTTGTCTTTCTGATTTTAAAAATACAAAATTTAAATTTTGTTGTTAATTTGATATTTATTATTTGTTAAATTTTAACATTAATTCAGGAATTAGATAACTACTTAAATAATGATATTTACTTCCATGACATTTAAAGTAAAGATATTTAGTCCATGTTTATTTTTATAAAGACTAAAAAGTAAAATTTATAAAACTATAAATAATAATAAAAAAAGGTTTATGAATCAATATAAGGACTGAAAAGAGGGAAAAAAAATAGTATGTACGATGACTAAAATGGATCATTCTTAATTATAGGGGCTAAAAGAATAAATAATCTTTTTATTTCTTTCACTTCAAAGTGATTTTTAAGTTAACGCTAAACATAAGAACTTTATAATAAAAAGTAGTTTTGTTAAATTTCATCATTTTTAGCTTAAAAATTCATTTTACGTTACAAGGTATTTGATTTTTTTTCACTTAAAATTATATAAAATTAGCTTATTTCATTCAATAAAAAATATATTTATAAAATAAAAAATATCATGTAAAACAAATATTGAATGTTTAATTTTTTTAAATAATACTTTTAAGAACTGAAAAATCATTTAGGCAAAATTTAATAATATTAAATTACATTAAAATATATTAAAAAATATTACGTATTTCAGAACAGTTAATTAAATAATCAAAACGTTATGCGGTTATATATAACCTTTTTTCAAAAATTTCTAATCAGTGATCAAAAGAAATGGAAAAAACTAATATTAAAAAACTTATAAGAGGAAAAATAACTGACTAGAGATTTTAGAGAGCCAAAATAACAAAATAAAATAAAGTATAAGAGTTTTTGAGCATGCAAAATAAAAGAAAATAAAAAAAATGCATATAAATAACAAAAACTCAAATGAAATTCTAACCAAAAAGACTCAGCTTAAAATCCTTGAATTAACTTTTCCAAAAGCTCATTTTTTTTTTCTTATTATTTTTCACAAATAATAAGCTACTTATTTTTTAAAAGGTTTTTATACAAATGTGTTTGACCCAACTTTTACCGATAAGTAAAAATTAAGGTACAAATATGTTGGACCAAACAGACTCTTAATATTCTGTTCTTCCATAATATGAGATTTGAGTCCCACATTGGAAGTATAAGATTCCAACCCTACACTGAAATCTTAAGTGGCTTGATTATTCCCCCCTTAACAGCTTGGGTTGTTTATCATCAGCATTCAGCCCACTCAACCGAATCAATCTGAATGAGAAGCAAGGGCACTATTATCAACAACTGTCAAACATCATGTTTCTTAGAGACCAAGCAAGTGCTTAATTTAAACAATCAAACCCCTTAACAAAGAAATAAAATTTGCAACATGCAGAGACAAACAGAACATGTAGCACAATGTGAAGCTGAAAGTGTTGGGGCATGGGGTATTACAACTCTACTAGACAAGTTGTTATACTATGGAAGAACATAAATCTAAGAAAAATTGTGTTCCATCTTGATGTGAATCTAGCGGGATAAACTATGTAAATATTATCATCATATTGGGGAAAGATGGCAGCTGGCTTCCCATTCCTGATGAATCAAACGTCATTCAGAGTAGTCTTGTTATAGTGAAAATTAAATTTCAATAAAGGTACAATATTGGCTGAAACTAGTCCTGCTAAATGCTCTTGGATCTGATTCCCATACATGTTCACATGTTTGTTCCCTTTAGCCCTTTGACAGGACCAGATAAATTCAGGATAGAACAGTAATACAACAGCAATCCGTCAAAAATTCCTTTTCACTCAAATTATGGCAACTGAGGTTGGAGTCTAACATAATTTGAATAAATGCTAAGATCTTTAGCATCAATCAAGGATTAGAATATTTTAGGCTCAATTTTTTTTTTACTGTTGTCCCTGAAATTTTAGTAGCATACAGAACTTGAAATCATGTGACCCAAATTTTAGAAGCATCATTCATGAGTCAAGACACAACCAAGAGTTTCTCAAAAAAAAAATAAAAATGAGACACCATAACCAAAAACAATAGACGAGACAAGACAAATAGTGCAGTGAATGTTAAATACAGTAAAAACGGCTGATTGATTATTGTAGGATTCATATTAAAATTATTTACATAAATAGGGTTGTTTTGAAATTATTTACATCTTTGAAATTGTTTATTATAATGTCGCTATAGATCATGGCGACATTAATGTCATATATATATATATATATATATATATATATATTTGAAAACAACTTGAATTTAGTCGTGTAGAAGTTGCAACTGGTGGTAACGAATTAAGTAGTGTCGTTACCGACTATTTCAACTTCTCAAATAGCTCATTTTTTAAAACATTTAAAAATATTTTTTTAAAATATATTTATTTTAAGAGTTGATCATTTAAAGTATTTTAATAATTTACAAGAAAATAAGATTTTAAAAAATAATCCAGAATAATTCAGTCAACAAAAAATAAATTAATATTATTTTATAAAATAAATATAAATAAAATTATTTTTATAAAGAAAAACTTCAAAAAAAAAAACTAGGAAAAAAACTCTGAAAAAAAGCCGATGAAAAATGAAAAAAAAAAGTGAGTCATAGAAGAAAAAAAAAGGTGAAAAAAATGAAAAATAAAATAAAATAAAATATGTAAAAAATGCAAAAGAAAAAAAACAAGTGAAGGAAAAAATGTAAAAAAAAACACAAAAATGGTTAAAATAAATCTGAAAATTTAAAAAAAATGCAAAATAAAAAAAATAAGTGAAGGAAAAAAATGTTAAAAAAAAAATGAATTACAAAATAAAAAAAAGTGAAAAAATGTTGTTAAAATAAATCTGAAAAAAAAAGATGTCACTATAGTTTGTAGCAACTTCACAGAAATAAAATTATTTAATTATTTTTTAAATTTATTTTCGTCAAATTATATTATCTTCATTTTTTAAAACATAAATTAATATTTAAATTTTTTAATATGTTTACATATTATATAAATTAAATTTTAAAAATTAAATGTGTCGCTAGGGAAGATAGCGACTTTATGTTTAATATATTAATTAATATTTAAAAAATAATTTTATTTATTTAATAATTTATGATATTTTCTATTTTACAGTTAATAAAAAAAATTTAATTACTTTATTATATTTATATTTACAGATATATATATATATTATAATTATATTTCATATATTAAATAATTCAATTCAAAAATAAATTTATTTTTTCTTTATTTTTTAACAATTTATGTTAATCTTAAAAATGATTAAATAAATTTAATTTTTTTAAAAAATATTATATGCTAAAAATTTAAATAAATTAATTTTTTTTAAAATTAATTAATTACTATTGTTATAGTCTGTAACAACTTTATTTAATTATTTTTTTAAAAAAAAAATATGCGCTATAACGTGTAACAACTTCGTAGAAATAACGACTTTAGTTGAAACATTACCGGCTATGAAAACTTTTACGGCATCACTTTCATGGCTTCTAAAAAAAAATATTACACGTGGAGCGACACTATAGTAAACTATTCCAAAAGTGTAAATAGTTTCAAAATAACACTATTTATATAATTAATTTTAAAAAGAACCCTAAAATAGTCCTAAAGGTGTAAATAATTTCAAATCAACACCATTTACATAATTAGTTTTAAAAAGAACCCTAAAATAGTCAATAAGCCAATAAAAACATGTATTCTTCCCGTGGTGAAATTCACAATATGGACAGGTCCATCCTTAGAACTAGAAAGAGTAAGAGTTGAAGTTGAAATTTTTGTCAAGCATGTTAACCCCTCAGCAGGATGTGGATGTCCTAGAAAGCAAATTCTAGCAGGTTATCAAAAACAAAAAGAAGAAACAAGAAAAATAAAATAGATCATATGAAAGTAAAATTATTATACATCAATTTTTTGTGAAGCTATCATGACATTATGTACATCAAGTTTTACCTCATGAATATTGTCCCTATTTGATATTGAGAAAAGAGATAAAAGGATACATGTGAAGATGCTTTCAATTGATTTTAAATTTTGCTCAAAAATTGCATTCCATATTTTTTATTTTCTGTGAAAATTCCAGAATATGTTTTGAAAAATAAAATCACCATAATGAGTTGTAAGAACAAAGGCAATTTAGATCGGAGCTATGAATAATTGACAAAATGCTTTACCAAGGAATAGAAAACAAACACAACAAACGCATTCATAAATACACAGAATTGAAGTTTCAAGAAAAACAACTACATGAAAATAGGTATCATTTTTCTATAATAGATGGGTACACCGATACTGGGATGGAATGTATGACTAGTTTCCTGGTCGACAGAAACAGGTATTTTCAGTTTTTAAGGCTTCTTACACAATATTGAAGTTTTGGTATTAATAATTGCGTAGCCTGTGATTTATGAACAGCAAATACACTATAAACAGCTATTTACATACCCCGCACAACCTGAATGTTTTCTACATTTTTTGGATTCCACATTCTCATGGTCGCATAGTTAGAACCAGTATAAATTATTTTCAATAAGGTACCCAGTGAAAGAAAAAGGAAGAGTGTAAAAACACGCAACACAAGTAACAACCTTTAACAAATGAAAAAATGCTCCAAGACGAAGAGAAACTACTAACATTCCATTAGGAGTAAAATCACTACGGGTTACACAACCACCATGACAAATAAACGTATTAAGGGAGTGTTATCACCTTAGAGTGTCTCCTCTTGGATATCACCTGGGACACTGAAGGATTTCACAGAAACCAATTTAGTAATTATGTTAAACAGAAAAGGCAAGAAAATTAAGGGTGCATTTGGTTTGATTTGTTTACATTTCTGTGAAAAAAGGCAGGATTAAAATATCAAAATATATAAGAAGGATATAAAAACCATGGGAACTCCAAAATTAAAAGGTAATGATTAGTAGTCAGCTTCAATGATAAATCCCGAGTATATAGTTGCATTTCCCTAAAACTACCAAGGGATTTTTTTATCTTTCCCCACAAATTAGGGATTGAACAGTGAATACATTTCGTCTCTTTCAAGTATAGACAATACCCATACAACTGAGATGCATCATAAAAGATCTTTCAAGTATAGACAATACCCATACAACTGAGATGCATCATAAAAGATATCTAAATTAGAAGGCGATTAAAATTGGATAACATTAGTTCAATAATGAACACAATCAATATAAAAGCACCCCATATTCTGTTATTCAAATTAACAGAGTGCCCAAAAATTCTGAAACAAACAGCATCTCATAGTAGCACAGCAGGATGGAATCCACAAATGTGATTTTATAATTGTGGTGAAACCAAACTTTCAAGGAAAATATGCATATTAAACCCAAGTTCACCCCTAGTGCTGAGATAATCCAACCTACTATCATTCGAATTATACAGAACTAATTTGGCAGAAGTAGTTTTCAGGAGAACAACACCATTTTCTGAGATGCACAAGGGCTCAAACAAGGGATACCCTGCACTAATCTCACGCCCAATGTGAGGGACCATCATCAATTTAGTCCAAGAATCTTGAGCTCCGTACTCCTTCATCAGCCACACAATCCAATGAGCACTCTTAGAGTCAAAGAAACAAACACAGATAGAGTTGCACAAGACATGTAGCACAGGACTGCAAATCTTCTCATCTTCCTCATCAGGCAGAACCATTTCACTGTATGTCTCATTCGCCATATCAAGGGAAAGAATCACCCATTGATCATCACTTACACCTCCCTTAGCTATCCAATTAAGAGTGCCACTCACAAATTTTCCTTGCATCCTAGTGGGATCACACGGGAAAGTCTGAATCACAGTACAAGAATTTGAACCAAAGGAATATATTTTGGTTAGAGTTTCATGAACATCTTCCACAACTGCTAGCAACTTGTACTTGTGATTCACATGGTCATAGCCAAAACCATGGTAAGTAATAATCACATCAGGGAAAACACCTATTGACAATCTTTTGGATTTCAATCCGGTAGAAGGGTTCCACAATTTGAAATAACCTTGATAAATCTCAAACAAACATAATAAGCCATTGCAAGAACCTACAATGTGGTACTTGAGACTCATCTGCAAGATCTGTGGTTCAGCACCAGTTGATGGGTTTTGGAACAAAGACTGCACAGAGAAAGATACAATTTTGCAGGGCTTAGAGGAGGTGGAAGAGACCAATCGTTGGTGGGTCATGTTTGGATCAGCAATTGAGGTGCAAAGGTGGTCATTCGCGAATTGGGGATCAGAGATTAGGGCATTCCATGATTTGCAGACACACTTGAATTGCAAAAGGGATCTCACCGGAACCCTAAGTAGGATCTTCAATATCAGTTCATCAGGTAAGACCGGCAATGAAGGGGATTCATCGCCGGTTGGAGAAACAACCTCAGACATCCTGAGAAATGAGCATCAGTTGAGTAGAAACACTGCTGTCAAAATGGTCTTGATAACGCATATCCTATTAGAGCTTTGGTGGTGAGAAGGAAATTGATATAAAAAGAAAAAATATTTTTAGACAACTCATCTTATTAAATATTTATGTAGAGAGATAAACATACAAAAAATATAGGTTAAATTATACTTTTGGTTCCCTATAATATTCGATCAACGATTTAGTTTCCAACTTTCAATTTTGCAATTTTAGTCGCTCAATTTTATAAAATCTACAATTTTGCTTTCACTGCTAAATATTTATTTGTTCACCGATATAATTGTAACATTGACCATGACTTAACATTAAACAGATGATATGACAATTAATATTTAATAATATTTAGGTTAAATTGTATTTTTATTCCCATTTATATCATTTTCATCTCTTTTTACAAATTTTATGAGATAAAAATAAGAATAAAAGGACAATTTAACTTGAATATTATTAAATAACAATTTTGGTAACATTTCCCAATATCATGTCATGGTCAACGTAACAATTTTAACGAGCAATAAATAAACATTTAGCAATGGGACCACAATTGCAAATTTAATAAAATTGGAAAACAAAAATCGTGAATTGAATATTATAAGCAAACCAAAGGTACAATTTAGCCAAAAATATAAATGTTATTTTAACTTCAAGAATAAATATTTATTTTATATGGCTATAATTTATAAATAAATAGATATTCAAATATTAAATTATATTATAGTTAAAATTTATAACAAATGAATATTTTACCATATAAATTAAATTTAAGATTTAAAATAAGCAATTTATATAGTAAAACAAGATAACTTTAATTATTGATGATTTTTAAAAATATTGAAATTGAATTTAAAAAATTGAAAGATATAAGAAGTTGGCAAAAAAAATCATAAAAACGTTCTTATTAAAGAAACGGCTAAAAACGTTTTTGTTGAAGAATAGTCTCTACAAACTCTCATATAACTATTCTAATATATATATGAGGAGGGTTCAAACAACACCGGTGTAACTTTTACTAAGTGTTACACCGCTCAATAACTTTATATTAAATGTGAATTTTGTAAACCAACCGTTAGATTGAAAGTTCATATCTATTAGATCATATATATCAAATTTTATATTAATCTAAGATGATTTGATACTTCATTCTCGTAAAACAAAATTGACATAATATATACATTTCAAAATATACTAAAATATGAACACTTTGATTACCTTCAAGTTGTTGTTTTTTAACAAAATTTGACATATATGATCTAAGAGATATGAACTTTCAATCTAACGGTTGGATTTACAAAATTCACATTTAATATAAAGTTATTGAGCGGTGTAACACTTAGTAAAAGTTACACCGATGTCGTTTGAACCCTCCTCTATATATATATATATATATTTATACACATCTAGGGATATAATAAGATGAGACGAGAGATAAAAATAAAAAATGAGATGTCCAAAAATCATTGAACTAAAAGGAATCTATTATAAGCTATGATGATGTGCTGCATAGTTGTTGTGTTTGGTAAAACTAATTTATAAGCTAGCTAGAAGTTTATAAGCCAAAAGCTTAAAAGTTACCTGAAATAAGGCTTGTTTGAATAAACTTATTTAGAAATACTTTCAGAAGAAAAAATAGGAAAGATAAATAAAATAAGTTTTTTCATAAGTTAAAACTAACATATGCATATGTAAAAATAAGTTTTAGGAGAAGCTATATGAAATACCTTCTACAAATTAGCTTATACATAAGTTAATTTTAACTTTAGAGAAACTTATTTCTTTTTTTCTTCCTATTTTTGTTCCTACTAGAAATACTTCTAAAAAAATTTATCCAAACAGGCCCTTAATTGAAAGTGAATGGTAAGTTTAGCTAATAAGCTAGCTAATTAATGTAAAATGATATATTTATTTATTTGATTATGAGAGTAAGAGAATGACGATAAAAAAGGGTAAAGTCAAAATTCAAGTATATTAATGAAGATTAAAAAAAAAAAAAAAAACTAACATATAAAGTATAAGCTACTTCAATTAACTCGTGAAAATAAACTATAAGTTTCAAAAATAAGCTTTAGTCCCAAACAAGTTTATTTTGGTCAAACTAACTTATAAGCTAATAAAAAACATACAAAATTCTCAATTACCTTACTAAACACACTCAGTATCCCACTTGTGTGTCCATGTGACCTCCACACCTTATCTGCAAGAATTGTTAGATTTCCATCTCTATTAAGAGCATGAAAACACACATGATGAAAATAAATCTTGTCATTGTAATCAACGCATCTGTCTATAATACAGCTTCAAATAAAGCAAACTCTAGCAAGTTACGAAAAACAAAAAGAAAAACAAGATCTGCGTATGAAACAATTATTATACATCAATTTTTTGTGAAGCGGTCATGACATTATATACATCGAGTTTTACCTCATGAATGTTGTCCCTATTTGATATTGAGAAAAGAGATAAAAGATGCATGTGAAGATGCTTTCAATTGATTTTAAATTTTGCTTAAATTGCAACCCATATTTTTTTTTCCTGTGAAAATTCCAGAATATGTTTTTGAAAAATAAAATCACTATAATGAGTTGTAAGAACAAAGGCAATTTAAATCAGAGCTATGAATAATTGACAAAATGCATAAACAAGGAATAGAAAGCAAATACCAAAAACACATTCATATATACACACAATTGAAGCTTCTAGAAAAACAACTACGTAAAAGAACGAGTAATGAATAGTCTTCCAGGAGAAGCAAATAGATATCATTTTTCTAAAATAAATGGGTACACCAATACTGCTGGGATGGAATGTATGACTAGTTTCCTGGTAGCTTCTAGCACATAATATTTTAGTTTTAGTATTATAGCTTCTTACACATAATATTAGATTCCACATTCTCAAGGTTCCGTTGTTAGAACCAGCACAAATTATTTTCTGTAAGGTACCCAGTAAAAGGAAAGGGAAGAGTGTAAATATATGTAACACAAATGACAACATTTGACAAATAAAAAAAATGCCCCAAGACGAAGAGAAACTACTATCATTAGGAGTAAAATCACCACAGGTTACACAACCACCATGACAAATAAATGTATTAAGCCGGCATTTTCACCTGAGAGTGTGTCCTCCTGGATATCACCTGAGACACTAAAAGATTTCATGGAAACTAATTTAGTAATTATGTAAAACAGAAAGGGAATGAAAATTAAGGGGGCATTTGGTTTGGTTGGTTTACATTTCTGAAAAATCCTGGGAAAAAGTAGCACGGCAGGAATAAAATATCAAACAATATAAGAAGGAAATAGAAAAGCTTAGGAACTCCATAATTAATAGGTAATGATTGGTTGTCAGCGTCAATGGCAAATACTGAGTATATGGTTACATTCCCTAAAACCAACAAGTGAATTTTTCATCTTTGACCTCGAATTAAGGATTGAATGGTGAATACTTTTAGTCATTTTCAAGTACTAGCCAATAGCCATACAACTGAGAGGTATCATAACTTTTTTTCCGTTACCTTGTGAAAGCTATAAGATCAGGAATCAGGGTTTTACATCCATAACCCAAAACAAAAAGAAGATCCATGACTTCAAGCCACCTTTTTATCCTGTGTTACGTGTGGAGATGAAAAGCTTTTCAACACAACTCAAACAAAATTGAAGAAATTCTTCTCAGATGATCATCATCCACACTCAATCATAGATACCTTGCAATAGAAGATTGTTCTTAAAAAAATTTACCCTAATAAACTCAAAAGATAAACATCCAAAGTAGGTATTTGCTCCATTACCATCATGTTGTCCAAATTCAAAAGTATAGTGGATCATTGCATACCACTATTATTAAAGTGATCAAATCATTTTACAAATGAATAACAAAACATCTGTCATGCCTCTTTGTAAACTAGTATTAATACCAATTCGAAATAAAAAGTAAGAGTTCATATTTCTAAATTAATTCTGGGCACCAATGTCATTGAAACCTTTGATATTGATGGGCTGGAAAAATCAGATTCAAAAAATACTTTTTCCAAACTCCCTTTGTTTTGGAGATTAAAAGTATTGAACAAAATCTGATTTTCCAAACAAAATAGCTGTAACATTGTGAATTTGAAACGAGGAAAAATTACAGAGACAAATAGTTCACTATTGCAGCACTAAGATTGCTTTATTTTTCAATGTTTATGCATGTAAAAACACAACTCATATAATGCAAATGTCTTCCAAGTCAAGATAGCATAATACATTTTCTGAACAGAATAGAAAGAACGCTATAATATTAATTGAATTCTTAAGAAAAAGTGCTTTTCAATTTAATCATCACTAGTATATAACAATATATGAGATGGTACAGTAAGGTTTCACCTAAAGAACTCGTACCAAAGACACCCCATATTTTGTTATTCAAATTAACACAGTGCCCAAAAATTCTGAAACAAACAGTAATCTTCCTTTAATCAGATCTCATAGAAGCACAACAGGATGGAATCCACAAATGCGGTTTTAACATTGTGGGGAAACCAAACTTTCAAGGTAAATATGCATATTAAACCCAAGTTCGCCCCTAATCCTAAGATAATCAAACCTACCATCATTCAGATTATACAGAACTAATTTGGCATATGTGTTTTTCATGAGAACAACACCATCTTCTAAAATGCACAAGGGCTCAGATGAGGGATACATTGCACTAGTCTCACGCCCAATGCAAGGGACCATCATCAATTTAATCCAAGAATCATGAACCCCATACTCCTTCATCAACCACACAATCCAATGAGCACTCTTAGAGTCAAAAAAACAAACACAAAGACAGTTACGCAAGACCTGTAGCCCAGGACTAAGAATCTTCTCAGCATCCCCATCAAGCAGCAACATTTTACTGTATGTCTCGGTTGCCAAATCAAGGGAAAGAATCACCCATTGATCATCACTTACACCTCCTTTAGCTATCCAATTAAGAGTACCACTCACAAATTTTCCTTGCATCCTGGTGGGTTCACACGGGAAATTCTGAAGCACAGTACACGAATTTGAACCAAAGGAATATAATTTGGTGAGGGTTTCATGAACATCTTCCACAACTGCTAGCAACTTGTACTTGTGATTCACGTGATCATAGCCAAAACCATGGTAAGTAATAATCACATCAGGGTAAACACCGATTGACAATCTTTTGGATTTCAACCTGGTAGAAGGATTCCACAGTCTGAAATAACCCTGATAAACATCAAACAAACACAATAAGCCATTGTAGGAACCTACAATGTGGTACTTGTGACTCATCCTCAAGGTAAGTGGTTTAGCACGGGATGATGGATTTTGGAACAGCGACTGCAAGGAGAAAGATACGATTTTGCGGGGGTCGCCGAAGGTGGAAGAGACCAATCGGTGGTGGGTCATGTTTGGATCAGCGATTGAGGTGGAAAGGTGGTCGTTAGCGAATTGGGGATTGGAGATTAGGGTTCTCCATGATTTGCAGACGCACCTGAATTGCAGAAGGGATCTCACCGGAACCCTATGAAGGATCTCCAATATGAGTTCATCAGGCAATGAAGGCGATTCATCCATCTTGAGAATGAGAATCGAGCATCAAACTATTGTCAAAGTGGTGGTCTCTGCAATTGCAACCATATCCTACAAGAGTTGTGACAGACAGTGAGAAAGAAATAAAAAATAAAAAGGATAAATATTTTTAGACTTTTTTCTTCTTCTTCAAACTAGCACTAGGTCTAGCATCGATTAAATTACTGCTACTCTGATTTTAATCGATTATTTTAAGGTGAAAATTTGTCGAAGATTGAATACTATTTAAAAAAATATAATGACTTTAAAATTTTTTAAATATTTTTAGGATACAAATTTTGTAATTTATATTTTAAAAATTTTCTTTATAAAATTTGAAAATATTATATCAATTTTTGATATTTTTAAAAATAAAATGAATTTTTACAAAAAAAAAATAATAAGATTTAAATAAACAAATAAAATTAATACGATTTTTTATTTTAATAAATTATTCATTATAGTCCCAAGTTCTCTTAATTGCTTTTTCATATATCTAAAACTATATTAACTTTTAACAAAAAAAAAATATACTAACTCGTCAGACATTTTTAAGAGGAGTCCAAATTTACCGAGAAGAGTATACCGTCTCAATGTTTTTTCGAGAGGTTCTGGTAGAGTACCAATCACCTCTAATAGATCATGTAATAGTCAAACATAAAGACACTAACCCTATAATTAAGTTAGAATAGTCAAATATAAAGTCTTTAATTCTATAACAACTAGGTTAAACCAAGATATTTTCTAGATGGGAACAATATTTTGTTTATATATATATATATATATATATATATGGTTATA